AAGTAGAGAAAGTTGCAAATGTGAAGTCTCTCATGTTAATTACAACATAGGCTTATTTCTCAATTGACAATCATAGAGAACAAAGAGCACAAACGCAAAGAGAAGAGTGTGCCACAGTTTAAAAAAAAATCATGTATACAGCTGCTGTCCATCAGACCGAGAGCTATATTAGTGATGTTTTACTACTGCAGTGTGTCTAAGATCTTTTTTTATGAATTCAAAATCTGTATTTTTTCAACATAGGGCGGGCCATACGGGACAAAAATAATCATTGTGTGGCTGATCATTAATCCTGATTATGAATCTCAATATTGGTCTACTCTAAAACATTAATACCTCTGCCTGTGGGGTTATGTGATAAGATTGTTTGTCTGTCTGTACGGTCCCGCTAGCGCCTTGTTTGGCGAGCACCTTATTTCACTTCTACATACAGAACTCACTATATTTTCAAACAACAATAATGATAATAATACGCATTGGTTTAATATATCGCTTTTTTGAACACTTAAAGACGCTTGTAATTATTCATTCAATTCATAAACGGTGGTGATAAACTACTACTGTAGCCACAACTGCCCTGGGGCACACTGACAGAAGCGAGGCAACCAGTATGTGCCATCAGCCCCTCCGACAACCACCCACCAGACTCATCTAGGGAATGTGGGTAAAGTGTGTTGCCTGAGGAAATAACAACAATTTGGCACTTTACAGCCGCAGCCGCCCCACTGTGGCACTGTGTGTTCCCAGAGGTCTCCCATCACAGTACTAACCAGGCACTGTCCTGCTTAGCTTCAGAGGTCTGACAGGAGCTCTGGCTTTCACATGCAGACCATACCTTCATAATTATGCTCATAATTATAATTAAGATAAATGTTATATCTAAAAATCTTTATGATTTTTAAACTAAAGCTAAATAAAAATTTACAGCCAACTACATGGTGTTTTCTTCTGCTCTTTTGTCCCAATGTAATGTGCAAGACTGAGGCACAAACAAAGGATCTCCTAGAATAGTTCTCAGGTAAAAGATTGAGCAGTGGGATGTGTTTGCCTCTGATTCTACAGATAGATTAAAATGTTCTACTTTACTAGAATACATGATACATATCCAAATGAATGAAAGTGCGTGTTTGCTCAGGCCCACAGTCTGTCACTCGTCAGAAAGCAGCCTCAGACCTGTCGCAGGATCTCGGAATCAAACGCTCGCGCTGAAAAAGATGCATCGCAAGTGCACACGAGCATGAAACGCCCAGAGGAATCCATAAGCAATGTAGAAAAAGTATGCTTCATTTACACCTATATGCCCCAGATCACTGACGGCTTGTATAAGGAATTATTTTAGTTTAAAAGGGAAGGTATACTTTTCTGTCACAGTGGGGAAAGTTGAATGGAACTACACCTCTTGGCGGAGGTCTGTGCTCTTCAAATAATTTTCTGGCAGTTTAAAAATAATACGTTTCTGCATTTCTGTATCCAATTCCACCATTTACTTGTGCTAAGTATGCAAAAGATCCAACTGTTTCTAATCAGACAAACACGGCCTGTTGTGGTCAGATTTATTTCTCCATTTTACAACTCTTTCTATTGAGACAAACAAAGGATTATTTATGAAACAATATATGTTGCTATTTAGTTGTTTCGAGCGCTGCCAGAGTCTTTTACTTTAGACAATTGACAAATGATTTACTTGGATTATTCGGTTGTACGTCTCTATTTCGGACTCGATGACTAATGGGAGCTGTGTTTTGTGTTTTATTCATTATTCAAAAACTGTTCAAAAATCAATGGTGCAGATAATGGCTGTTTCTGGGCTGTTGGCTTCTGGTGACAAATATTGATTCAATGAAGCAATATCTGATTCCGCTGCACCATTGGAGGCTAATAGACTCACAAACACTTTGACAATTGATTTGTTTTGAAAAGTTATGTGCCGTCGTGGACACAGAAACCCCGGTTCTACTCTTCCCCGATTGGGAGCGTTTCTTTTCTACTCTACTCTACTCTACTCTCCATCCATCCATTTTCTTCCCCTTAATCCATTTCTGGGTCGGGGGGTGGCAGTCAGAGCTGCACCCAGTACACAGAGCACCAGCCCCTCACTGATCCTCCTGCAGGTGATGAGTCCACAGGAGCTGAGATCTTTCAGATCTACTCTACTCTACTCTACTGTACTCTACTCTACTCTACTCTACTCTACTCTACTCTTCCCCGATTTGGAGCGTTTCCACTCTACTCTACTCTTCTCTACTCTACTCTTCCCCGATTTGGAGCGTTTCCACTCTACTCTACTCTACTCTACTCTACTCTACTCTACTCTACTCTACTCTACTCTACTCTACTCTTCCCCGATTTGGAGCGTTTCCACTCTACTCTACTCTTCTCTACTCTACTCTTCCCCGATTTGGAGCGTTTCCACTCTACTCTACTCTACTCTACTCTACTCTACTCTACTCTACTCTACTCTACTCTTCCCCGATTTGGAGCGTTTCCACTCTACTCTACTCTACTCTACTCTACTCTACTCTACTCTTCCCCGATTGGGAGCGTTTCCACTCTACTCTACTCTACTCTTCCCCGATTGGGAGCATTTCCACTCTACTCTACTCTACTCTACTCTTCCCCGATTTGGAGCGTTTCCACTCTACTCTACTCTACTCTACTCTACTCTACTTTAATCTACTCTACTCTACTCTTCCCCAATTTGTAGCGTTTCCACTCTACTCTACTCTACTCTACTCTACTCTTCCCCAATTTGGAGCGTTTCCACTCTACTCTACTCTACTCTACTCTACTCTGATTTGGAGCGTTTCCACTCTACTCTACTCTACTCTACTCTTCCCCGATTTGGAGCGTTTCCACTCTACTCTACTCTACTCTACTCTACTCTACTCTACTCTACTCTACTCTACTCTACTCTACTCTACTCTACTCTACTCTACTCTACTCTACTCTACTTTAATCTACTCTACTCTACTCTTCCCCAATTTGGAGCGTTTCCACTCTACTCTACTCTACTCTACTCTACTCTACTCTTCCCCAATTTGGAGGGTTTCCACTCTACTCTACTCTACTCTACTCTACTCCGATTTGGAGTGTTTCCACTCTACTCTACTCTACTCTACTCTACTCTTCCCCGATTTGGAGCGTTTCCACTCTACTCTACTCTTCTCTACTCTACTCTTCCCCGATTTGGAGCGTTTCCACTCTACTCTACTCTACTCTACTCTACTCTACTCTACTCTTCCCCGATTTGGAGCGTTTCCACTCTACTCTACTCTACTCTACTCTACTCTACTCTTCCCCGATTGGGAGCGTTTCCACTCTACTCTACTCTACTCTTCCCCGATTGGGAGCATTTCCACTCTACTCTACTCTACTCTACTCTTCCCCGATTTGGAGCGTTTCCACTCTACTCTACTCTACTCTACTCTACTCTACTTTAATCTACTCTACTCTACTCTTCCCCAATTTGTAGCGTTTCCACTCTACTCTACTCTACTCTACTCTTCCCCAATTTGGAGCGTTTCCACTCTACTCTACTCTACTCTACTCTACTCTGATTTGGAGCGTTTCCACTCTACTCTACTCTACTCTACTCTTCCCCGATTTGGAGCGTTTCCACTCTACTCTACTCTACTCTACTCTACTCTACTCTACTCTACTCTACTCTACTCTACTCTTCCCCAATTTGGAGCGTTTCCACTCTACTCTACTCTACTCTACTCTACTCTTCCCCAATTTGGAGGGTTTCCACTCTACTCTACTCTACTCTACTCTACTCTACTCCGATTTGGAGTGTTTCCACTCTACTCTACTCTACTCTACTCTACTCTTCCCCGATTTGGAGCGTTTCCACTCTACTCTACTCTACTCTACTCTACTCTACTCTACTCTACTCTTCCCCGATTGGGAGCGTTTCCACTCTACTCTACTCTACTCTTCCCCGATTGGGAGCATTTCCACTCTACTCTACTCTACTCTACTCTACTCTACTCTACTCTACTCTTCCCCGATTTGGAGCGTTTCCACTCTACTCTACTCTACTCTACTTTACTCTACTCTTCCCCGATTGGGAGCGTTTCCACTCTACTCTACTCTACTCTTCCCCGATTGGGAGCATTTCCACTCTACTCTACTCTACTCTACTCTACTCTACTCTTCCCCGATTTGGAGCGTTTCCACTCTACTCTACTCTTCCCCGATTGGGAGCGTTTCCACTCTACTCTACTCTACCCCGATTGGGAGCATTTCCACTCTACTCTACTCTACCCCGATTGGGAGCATTTCCACTCTACTCTACTCTACTCAGAACCTTTGGAATCCAATCGTTTATTTTTTGCACTATGTAGCCGTGGTGTGAATTAATATAGACAAAACTATACTAATTTTGATGCACAGAAAAGCTCAAATCAGGTAGAAACAGTTTTACAATCTGTGTTGCCGGCCCATGGATTTATCTGGTAAGCTAAAGTGGCCCTCTTACCAAAAAGTCCTTCCTCGAGGACTTCCGCTTCCATTCGTAGTGTGTGTTTAGTATTCCCCGCTGTTCAATTCAATTCAACTTTACTACAAACTCTAGGTCCAATTTAAAACATGCAGACAGACAAAAACTTTCAAACAAACAGCTATGACTTTAAAAGACAGCCATACCATGTGTCCACATCTTGGATTGAATCGAGAGGCACGAACCTGATGCTTGTCAACACTAATTTAATTTGTCGCCCGATAAAATTGTACAGAAGCTCAGGTGCTTTCTCAGAATAACTCAAAAACTGTCACTGTAGGCCACCTGCAGCTTGTCCAGACTGGCTCTTTTATAGATATTGTGACTCAAAAAAGTAATCCACCAAATGGCTGAGGAAACCATTAAAGGGTCAAGGCAGTCAAAATGTGCTCAATTTAAGAAACATTTTTGCCAACTTTGAGGCATTTTTGACTGATTCCCTCCTCCCCTCATTGCAGCGCAGTAGTAGAGTATTCCCAGCCGTTGGTTGCGTGTGTACCTGTGTGGGGATGGTCGGCTGCTGCCTGAGGGTCTCGCAGCAGAGCAGAGCGGCGGTAAAGCACGTGTACTCTCCCCTGCTCTTCCAGCTCCTGAGCCCCGCGCTCCAGAGGCTCGATGAAATACTCGTCTGAGTCTGTGCGGATCATCCCGGCCTGAAACGAAACAAACATGGGACAACATCAGGGGACGAGGAGGGGATTACCGCAAGAACCAGCCTTTCATCAGCCTTTTGAAAACCTCTGAGCATTTGTCTCTTTTGTACATTTACGGATTAACGTGCAGACTACTGTAGGTTGTGTTGTGTTGTAGAATAGTAGTTCAGTTGGAGTTGCCAATGGAAATCGATGGGAATGCAGCTATTTTTTGAAAAGAAGACCATTTTTCTTGTCTGTGTTTTTCAAAATCTCTCATTGAAATGTTTTCATACATGTCTTATTCAGACCAGACATGGCTACTGGCTAATTTTGAGTCCCTGGGCAAAAGCAAAGTGTGCAAAGAATTCAGAAATAGGATGGCCTAGCTAGCATTTAAAATACGGGTAATATGTACAGGTAATACGCAAAGAGACACAATATATACACACAGAGATATTTACAATCTGATTCCACAATTGATCAACTTTGAGCCTCGTCTTTAGGCTGTGTTTAAACTTCCCTAGTGAGCTCCACTCCCTCACAGACAGCAGCAAGGAGTTCACAAACCTGGCCAACATCAATTATTATCTGAATATTGACACCTTTTCTAAACACCAAAATACGAGCAAATACGTAGACCTTAGTTCAGGGGTGTCCAAACTTTTTAGCAAGAGGGCCACTTTAGTTCATCAGACTTGACCTGGGGCAGACAACCTGGATTCGAGCTGGATTGACTGAATTCTATAATTTAAAATGAGTTATGATACGTCCTTATTGATTCACACCAAAGCTGCATTTTATTTGGAATGCTGCGACAATAAAGTCAATCCGGAAGGTCTAAAATTTACAACAAGGTATAACGGGACTGAGTTGGTGGAGCAGAAGTTGGTTGGATGACACAGTCAAAGTGCCTCAATGGTGACTTGCCCCATGGGCCTGAGTTTGGGCATGCCTGCCTTAGTTGATATGTGCAGACAAAGAAGATGTGGAACTTATTGACCGTTAAAAAAAAAAATTTGATTAACCCCGGGATTACCGAGAAATTGCCTCCAAATTTAGATTAAAACTTTGGCTTTTGACAGTTACCATAACTACCTGTAGAAGATTTTTCCGCTGCCATCCACCACAATATTAGACTATAGACTATTAGGAATATTGCGGTGCTATATGTTAGTGATTCAGCTAATCCCAAATAATTAAAGTGTCTGGGTAAGTTTGAAACATTGGGCAATAGAGAGGATTTTCTGTCATGGACTATATCAGGGGTGGGACCAGATCGTGTGCCACAAAATCTCACAAGATCTAAAAGCCACGAAACGGGGAAAATAAAATATTTGTGTTTAATGTCAGAGCACAAAAGGCTTTATTTGCGCATCTTCTCTCCCTCACAGCAGAGCACAAGTCCAGGTTAGGAGGTTATCAAAATCACTATCGTCTCAATCTCGTGGTTTCACCCCTGAACGCAGCTTTGTGAACGTTTTGAAGCAGCAGAAGTAGTGAGGGCCAGAATAGTTTTTTCATATTATTTGTGCCAAAACCCCATTTTATCACAAAAAATAATAATAAACAAGGTTGGAATGTTGGATCAATAGGCTTTTAGAGCTTCCTGGGGAATCACAAATATGCACACAAAATGCATCTGAAAACTGTGAGGATGTGTAATGCATTGAAAATATGAATACGGGAGAAAATCCTCCAAGAATCACTCTGTAATGAGCGTAAAAAGACCAATATGTCTGCGTTTAAGAAAATCTCTTTTGACTCTTAACTCTTATGTTTTGAGAAAGCTGTTTATGTAATTTGTTTAATCCACAAAATAAGGCTCATTACATTCCTACCATGTCTAAAAAAGGCTGAGTGAAAGGCCAAAATATGAATGCAGCCCCATTAGCATTTCTTTTGCATCCCATTTAGTCAGCTCAAAGTCATCGCTACACACAGACCAAACACCATGCTTGCTTTTTTATCGTATTCAAGGGGACATATGGCACAAAAACTCATTTTTCTCTAACTACAAAACATAAAGTGCACTGCTCCCTGTGGTTATCTGCCGCCGGCACTGTGAGGCTGGTGCAAATTAATACATTGATTTTCAGCACCCTCAGCGATCTTGTTTCTTATTACAGGACACATTGTGGCAAAGCAACAAAATTTTCTCCTCATCAAAAACTTTGGCTTTTTCCAATACGAGAAACTTCTGGCACACACTTCTCTCCCTCTTTTTCTGATATGCTCTTACCTCAAATGAAATTATATAGTCATAGAACAGGCGGGTCAACGTCAAGGCCCGCTAGGATCTGGCCCTCGAAGGAATTATCTTGGCCCGCGGGATGATATTTGATTAGTATAGAACCGGCCCGCACGCCACAGCCATCGCTGGTGTTTTTTGGTGCGCAGTAGCTCGAAAACTCACTGCAGCGCTGCAAGGGGGCCACCTCAGCGTCATTATTCATCAGCATTTAGGGCAGATGTCAACTTTCAGCAACCCCGCCCCAATAATGGCTAAACGGAAAGTGGACAATGAGAACAGGGTGTTTCAAGCTATAGGTGGGAGGAAGAGCTAAAAGGCAAAGCTGTGTGTCTTCTGTGTGGAGAAATTGTGACTGAAATGAAACCATATAATCTAAAGCGCTATTTGCACAGGATTAGTATTACCTGTGGACCTCTGGTGATTTTCAAACAACTGCCCCACCTTTGTGTTCACACGGTATAAGCTAAATTATTTTAAAAAGTTAAATTCCTACGTATTCACTGACATCACAACTGCCCGTATACACACAGCCCGCGAAGTGGAGAGACTCGTGCAGCAGTCCGCCTGGTGGTCCGCAGGGCTAATGTGAGATGCACACCGCACTCATTCATTCATTCATTCATCTTGCACATTTTTGCTCACGTTGTGAATTGGCTCCAAGTCAAGACACATAGAAACATGTTTGTGCTCTACAGTTTATGTATCTAAACATTAGGAGAAGGACTGGCAGGTTTGACAGTGATTCTGGACATTGTTTTTTTCTCTTTCATAAAGTCTGGCGTCTGACCACAGCAACCACAGACACCATGAGGACAAACACACAAGAGTATAAATAACATTTCGAACATGATTATTAAACTCACTGAAAATATGTTTCTAATCCATGTCAAAAGAAAATTAATATAACTGGGTTTTTTTTACAATTCACCCTTTTAGACCCATCTCCACAATTCATTTGCATCCAAAAATATATAGAAGCCCTCGAGCCATTTGGTAATCTTGAGGTAGCCCTCGAGCCCTGGTCAAAAGTCTCCAGTCACATCTCAGACTTGACATCTGCATGCATCAGTTAAACAGTGTTTGGTGTTTATTCGGATGGCAGAAAGCAATGTATACAACAATACGTTATTCATATGAGCGAACACTCGCAAGATCATGTTTAAAGACCAGATTTTTCACTTGTACAGCCTTACACTTGTTCTTCAAATAGATTTTTCATAATATAGATTATTTAAAACAGTTTGATCCACCGCTGTTATCACGTATTAGTATAAAAGCAGCATAAAGCAGGCATATCAAACACATGAGTCAGACCAGATCGGGTCAGAAAGGCCCTGTGCCGACCGAGATTTGAACTCAAGAATGTCTTTCTGAGAAGCAAGAGTGCTAACTACTCAGCCACCGTGCATCTGACATAAAGCGGGTCAGACACAAATACTGTACGTAAGTAAGTAAGTAATCTTTATTTATATACCGCCTTTTCACTGCAGATCTGAGTCTCAAAGCGGTTTACAATTGTTTACAATTATTTTTGGGCATTTGTCTCTCACTCCACACAGAGATGGGAGCGGGGTCGCCAGTACACAAGGCACATGCCAGACCTATTGTACATATTTTTAGTGGTAGGGGAAACCGGAGTACCCGGAGGAAACCTACGCAGACACGGGGAGAACATGCAAACTCCACTCAGAAAGGCCCTGGTCCGACCGGGATTCGAACCCAGGACCTTCTTGCTGAGAGGCGAGAGTGCTATCCACTCAGCCACCGTGCCGCCCTTCCTCATTCCTCCTGTCTGTAACTTTTGATGCAACATTAACATTTCCCCACTGTGGGAAAAATAAAGGATCTCTTAATCTTAATCTTAAGCAATCATTTCATTTTGTCTAACATATCGTCAAAGCATCTTCACAAAGTAAACAGTGATTATAGGGGGAAAAACAACACTTTTAATGTTTCGGCTCCCGACTATGGCAGGGACAAGTCAACCATACATTTCCAGTGTCTTTCAACGCAACAAAAGCACATTACTTAATCAAAGACACTCAATCTTGTTCCTTTCCCCATATTTCCAAACAAAGCATCAAATTCCCTCCAGAATCTCACCCCTGACAATTACGGCTCATTTCTGGACAGGCCGCGGGACGTAATTGCCCATTGCTCCACGGCGTTAGGGTTACATCGAAACACGATTGCTTTGCGAAGCGGCCTGCACTTCCCAGATTTTGTCCAATCACCGGAAAGTCATGTCTACATTTAGAAGGAATAACGCAATAACTCACTGGGTGCGGATCTCATCTCGGACAAATGACCGAGCAGGGCCCGACGGCATGTGCGAGAGACGAATCCGTAGGTCTCGCCATATTGGAACGTGTACCGCAGCCAACTTTTAATCCAAGACCTCGTCCATATTTCTTGTCAAGGGCTCAAGCGGCAGCAAAAAAGCCGTAATTCACGCATGTAAATTGGAGTAATGCGCACTTAGCCATGTCACTTATAGCCTCAGCATATGGCGCACTGTTCAGGGAGAGGGTAAATGCAGCGATAATTCATTTTCTTTGATCCAAATGGTGGGTATTCATGGAAGAGGCTCTTGTGGTATTCAAGTGAGCATACATACTACATGGCGGCTTCTTCACTAACCCATTGAAACGCGCTCCAAAACAGGCTTGAATTTGAAAAGCACACATGTTTCTGCAGTGGTAATACAACCATAATTGCGAAGGGGATGGTGTGTGGCCTGGCTCAGCTTTGAATAAAATTA